GCTTGGCCTGGATGACTTTGTCACCGTCAAGGTTATCGGCAAGGGTGCTTTCGGCGAGGTTGGTATTGTCGCTGCCAAGCATGCCGTGCACCTGTATGGAAACTGACCATGTGGCGGGCAATGTAGGTTCGCCTGGTGCAAAAGGCCGATACAGGCAAGATCTACGCGATGAAGACGCTGCGCAAAGCAGAGATGTTCAAGAAGGATCAGGTGGGTCTTTGGCGCAAGCGTGGCAGCCGTTGCGTGTCAGGCAAGCACTGGCTAACCGACCAGCGCTACGTCAATAGTTGGCACACGTCAAGGCTGAGCGCGATGTACTGGCCGAGTCCAACTCGCCATGGGTGGTGCAGCTGTTCTATTCGTTCCAGGATCCCAACTATCTCTACTTGATTATGGAGTTTTTGCCAGGTGGCGATCTGATGACGATGCTCATCAAGTACGACACATTCTCGGACGATGTCACGCGCTTCTACATGGCCGAGTGTGTGCTGGCGATTGAAGCAATTCACAAGCTTGGTTTTATCCATCGGTAGGTCGCTGTGATTACCGCCCTGGCGGTGGCGCTGGTGATGATGAGGTGGCAGTCTAAACCGGATTGGCCATTTCTGACCTTGTGCCGCACTCTTTAGTGATATCAAGCCTGATAACATTCTGATCGACAAGAACGGACACATCAAGCTGTCCGACTTTGGCCTGTCGACTGGCTTCCACAAGACACACGACTCGGCCTACTACCAGCGTCTGCTGGACGGCATCAACCAGGGTGGTCGCGAGCACGGCCACGGTCATTCGCACCAGCCCAGCGTTAACGAGATCACGCTAACGCTGTCGGCCAAGGACCGGATTGCCACTTGGAAGAAGAACCGGCGTAATCTGGCCTACTCGACTGTAGGCACACCCGACTACATTGCGCCCGAAATCTTCTTGCAGCAGGGCTACGGTCAGGAGTGCGACTGGTGGTCGCTCGGCGCGATCATGTTTGAATGCCTGGTCGGCTACCCGCCGTTCTGCAGCGAGTCGGCGCATGAGACGTACCGCAAGATCATGAACTGGCGCGATCACCTCTACTTCCCCGACGATGTGCTGCTTTCGCCCGAGGCAGAAGATCTGATCCGCCGACTGATCTGCGATCCGGAGCACCGTCTGGGCCGGAATGGTGCGCACGAGATTCGCGCACATCCGTTCTTCCGCGGCGTCGACTGGGAAACCATCCGCGATGTGGAGGCGCCGTTTGTGCCGGTGCTCAGCTCCATCACCGACACGTCCTACTTCCCGACCGAGGATCTCGAGCAGGTGCCGGACCAGATCCCCGAGACGAACCACACGATTGCAACGGGTCTCAACCAGCAAAAGGACCTCGCGTTTGTCGGCTACACGTTCAAGCGGTTCGAGTATCTGACCGGCAAGAACCTTATCTAAGCAGACGCGTATTCTGGCCCCTTTTCCACCCGCTTCTACCTATGCTCGATCACACCTTTCATCTGTTGCGCGTGCGCATTTGTTTTTCGATGAGAACATTTCCATTCCTTTGAGCTTCGAGCGGCTAGTGCAAATACCGCACGCCCCATGTGCGCACTTGTGTAAAGGGTGAGCTGGCTGCTTTGCGTTTCAATAGGCGAAACGTCCCGTGCGGCCACGGTGCCAGTAGACATAGTTTATGATGCATGCAGTCATAACTGCCCATTGAATATCGGATGGGTGCTGCAGAGTGAGTGCAAAGGGACGAGATGTACGGCTGCAGGGTGAACAGCATAGTCGGCTGTATATTAAGCAGGTACAGGCGAAGGGCACGAGTAACAGGCGAGCGAGATGGAATAGTGCGATGCAACGCGGCGGTGATTGAATGAACAAGTGGCGACAGCGGCAATAGGATGATTGGCAGTCTGTTAATTGGGCATGCCAAAGTTGGTGAATCGACGCTTGCGTTCGCGCTGAGCACGCTGTTCCACCACGCGACGCCGGATCAGCACGCTGGCAAAGCCAAGCACGCCAGCACCGGCCAGAATAATGCCGGCAATCATACCAGCGCGCGCACCCGTGGAAATGCCTTGCACAGACTTTGCTTCCACGGTAGACGTGTTTTCGGACGCCTCCGTGGTCCCAGGCGTGTTTGGAGCGCCAATACGTTCGGAAGAACCGTCGTCAGATCCATCCTCGGGGATCACGGGTGCGTCGAGCATTTTGCGCACGCCCGTGCAGCGTAACAGCCTGCCGTTGCTCATGCACTGCAGCGGCGCATTAGGGCGATCGCGCGTCAAAGCGTAGCAACCCTGAACGTCCCAATCGGTGTTGAGCAGCGGGGTGAAGGGATCGCACTGGACGAGTCGCCCGCTCGGATCCTTGGCCTGGTAGACAATATCGGCACTCTCTTTGCATCCACGCCACATGCTTCCCTTTGTAGTAGGCACAATGGGTGCATCTGGTGATGGCGAGGGTGCTGTGCTGGTTGCATTGGCATCCATATGGCACCACGGCCTCTCACTTCTCAGATTGGTGCAGCCCAGTATCATGAAATTGTCAATGGTGTACGACTGCGAGCTGCACTGATCAGGTGAGATGACGCCTGTAGGGGGTTCGGCCGTGTTTCCCACCAGCTCGGCAGCCACCAACTTGCTCGGACTGGCGTTTGCACGGCCAATCGGTGCGGTAGACGTTGGCAGAGTAGAAGGCGGCAATGGTGATGATGCTGATGATGGCGGCAATGCTGTCGGCGGTGTCGCAGGACGTGCCTGGCGCCTATGCAACCGTACAGGTGTAGGCGCCAGGTATGCTGGCGGAGCAGCAGCAGACGCCGTCCATGCATGTACACTGATGCTGGCCAGCAGCAGGAAAAGTAGTAGCGACGCCATAGCGTTCATGGTATGCGCTGAGCGATAAACACATGCCATGGCAAAAGTAAGGTAATGGTCGACCAGCGACGTGGATGCAAGCGTAACAGAGGGCACGGCAGGTGGTGGGCAAGCGAGCGGACAAAGAGGCAGCAAATGCAAAGACAAGGTGTTGCCGGCAACGTATGCGGGTGCGAAGCAAGTCGTATACTATGCTTCAGGTTCCAGGACTGAACAATGTAACGAAATGAAATGGTATGTTACGCCAGCAAAGAACCAATGCAAGTGTCGCGGAGAAACAGCGGTTAGCCAGCACCGCTGTTGTTGTCGAGAGAATAGTGACGAAAGTGGTGGTAATGAAGAAGAGGAGAGAAAGAGAAGCGTGGCACTGGCGAATGCGTTGATGAAGGATATATTAGGAGGCGGTGGCGCTGATGGCTAAAACAAAGGCGCATTCTTGTGTACCAAGGAGTCGGTGTCTCTTACAAGCCAAGCTAGCATTCTGACGCAGCGTTACGGCCGTTGCAAGTTCAAAGCTAATGCCCATGCACTCTGCGCACCTTGCATCCTAGCCATTAACAGGGCAGCACTAAGGTAACGGGGCTGGCGGCGGACGGACATGGACGGACGGTTTGAAGTGCGGCAGCCGGGGTACTGGTACGACCGTATGCCCGGTGGCAGCGGGCACGCTGGAAACGAGTGACTCGTAGAAATGAATACGCGGACGTACCGGCGGACAAAGAAGGCGGGCCGATGCGGGGGAAGTCGGAATGAGATGCAGCGTATCCACAATATGGGCAGCTGACGGGCGTTGGAGTAGGCGAGTATGGAGTTCTGTCGCACACAACCTGTGTGTGATGCGCAACTGTGTCGCAAGCAAGTCTGGATATTGCACTGTTGACCAGACAATAGATACGGTTGCGTTTGGGTAATCGTAAGCTACGGCCAGCGTCGGCGCATGCGCATTGCAAAAGACGCTTCCTTACTATGTAATGTCGCAGACGACTGCTGATTTCCTTGCAACTGTCGACACTGCAGGTGCCGAGATAACCTGTCTTGACGTAGCGCCCTCTTCAGCCCAAGGGCACGTCCTAGCAAAGCTGGCGCACAACCTGATCGGCGACGTGCTACGGTGACGGCTGTGGCTAGTGCGGTGGTGGCACTTGCCGTAGCGACTGACGCTACATCACCCGTAGACAGCAAACGCGAGGGGGCATTGGCAGTCTCGAACGAACCCTCAAGTTTGCATGTCTCTCCACCACTTTGACCGAGCTGCATGGGATCAGGCTGTAGCATTGGATGTAGCGTGGCCATCTCTGCAGGCACCAGATTGCGCTCTCTGACGCGTGGTGAGCGGCTATCCTTACCGTACTACGTTATCATCGCATTAATTACCGTAGTGTTTGGAGACTGGGCCGTCTACGCAGACGCAACTTCAGATGAAGCCGTGTCATGTTTGACACGATACGCTGCTGTGCATCATAGGCTGACCGTTGCGCAATCGAACCAATGTAACGACCATCGCGAATGCCCTGATCGAGCGCTAGGCCGCGTAGAATGTTGCGCTGCGCCAGTGTCGCTCGGTCTGGCCGTGACGGCCTCGTCAGGAGAGCAGCCAGCTGGTAAGGCACACGAATACGACGGATATAGCGCCACAGCAGCGTGTCTCTCGCCAAGCGTCGCAGCTGTCGGCTGGCGTGCAGCATCGTACGCAGATCCGTTTCATCCAGGCGCTGCGGACGCAGGACAGAGTACTGTGAGTGGCAGGTTTTCTCTTGGTCGCAGCGCCGCCTCCTCCCTACCACCAGGACGCAAAAAAGCAATTCCTCAGGCAATGGCTGGCCTCTATGCGACGCAAGCGCACGGTCATTCTCTACTGCCGTTTGGCGTACGTCAAGCATTTCCGGCGTTGTCACAATTGCGGCAGGACTGTTCATGTTTGATATGCCAAACAGACGGCGGCACGGTGTAGGCGAAGGGAGGAGAACAGGGTTGTAGGAAAGGAGCCGTCAGTGCCAAGAGAGCCAAGCAACCGCTACGCAAAGCCTGACTGCGCGCCCTTGCACGCTCAGCGTCGTAGCGTCTTGGCATACAAAAGCTAAAATTCACAGCAAAACCCCAGTCACGCGCCTCACTCGCATAAGAGGCTAAAAGAGCAGAAAGAAAGTGTGATGGTTACTGCGAGGTTCGAACTCGCGCCCCGTCGCCGGGAGCAGTTCTTAAGACTGCCGCCTTAACCACTCGGCCAAGTAACCTAAAACGACGATAAACCCACAAAAGGCCTACAGATCGCAAGTGTTATTGCCAGAAAATAGCCCGCGGCCCGACTTTTTACCGCGTACTTGTGCTTGCACCATGCTAGTCAGCGAACCGTTAGCCAGGCTGGGAGCGCTGATCAGACAGTAGGTTCCAGGCACTCGCGAGTTTGCAGATACTTGATAAATATCAGCGGACTGTTCCCCAGCGGTCAAAAAATGTGGCCTAGCTGTATTCAGATGCTGGCACAAAAAGCACACCCAACCCAACACTTGCCCATGACCTGCTGATGTCTCGAGTCCTCAGGAGTGCACCTGGTCGCGGTAGCTGCAAGTGCCGTCTGATGCGCCCAGCGCGCGCCGACAGTCGTGAGATGCCTACATTTATTGCCTCACACGGCCTCGTTGGAGTCGCCAAGAATATCTTCTTCGCGGATATTACGGGCGATATCCCAGTAATGCGCCGCACGATTGTGCTTTAGCGCTTCCTTGACGGCAGACTCCGTAGGGCATCGCCGGAAGCGGAAGCCCTTGAACGATCGTCCTGCCACCTGACCTTCCCAAGCAAGCACGCAGCGGTTCGGCCGACGCTCGTCACCAGGTGCATCTACATCCATATCGCCGCCATCTTGCTCTTCGTCCGCATCCAGCATCTCAGCGTCCGGATCGCTCCACTTGATTCGGCGCAACATCAGCTTCTTGTACGTCTTGATGCTCTTGGGTCCGCCCTCGACTATCACCAGACTGGTGCGAGTGTGGATGATGGCGACACCTGTAAGTGCCAGCTGGTTAGCGTTGGTTTCCACTTTGAATTTTTTCTGTGGATGTGTCAGATCATTGATCCTGTGCGTATTCACCGCAAAAGTTAGCAGGCGTGCAGCAGTTGGGCCATTGATGCGCTGTGTATGCTACACACCGAAACACCAAAACATGGATGCCCTTGGCTGCGTCCTCATCCAGCTTCTGACGCCGCTTCTCTCGCCGCTGATCGTCGGTAAGCTTGCGCTCCTCGTTCATCTGCATGTGCTTATCCTGTCGTTTCCGGACTTCGCTCCGTACATATGCCTCCATCTTGGTCGGATCCTGAATGGCCTCGTTGCCCAGTACGCGCATCAGGTTACTGAGTTTGACTAGGTGTTGGCGTGGCAAAACGGGCGATGCGTCAGAAACAGCGCACGGTCGGCACCTCTACTAACGTTTACCTACCCTTGGGTGGTTCAGGCGGCAGCAAGCCCAGACGAATCTTGTCCTGCTTTTCCCTTAGTGTTTCCAGACGACGCTGTCTGCGCAGCTTCTTCCGCTCCTATGTTTTGTGCAGTAAACATCAGCATGCAATCTTCATGACCACGTAAAAGCATATGCGGTATCGCAGTCATCGCACCTTTTCAGTGAGGAGCAGCGGGCGTGCTACATCTGCCGCCTTGTCCTGTGGACCCGGAATCGGTACTGGATGCTGCACATACACCGTGACCAGCGTGTCCTCGCCTGATAGCCGAATGTTGCCGGCAGCCACATCGTCGTAGCTGCGATTCTCAAGTAGCGGCTCATCCCACCACTCCACATCTGGCGGTGGGTCTCCCTGCCAGCATACGCACACAACTTTGTAAGCGTGGTGTATTGCGACACAGCAGGCGACCACCACGCACCCGAATCTGCTTATCGGCGGCAATATCCAGCTCCACTTCCATACCAGCCCGCTGTGTGCTCGCCGCAATCTCCTTGCGCAGTCTCTCGAGATGTGCCTGTAGTCGGTCGAGGGTACAACTATTAGTTGGCTGCGTGAAAACTCACTCGCATGTCACGGCATACCTGTGCGCGCAGCTTCTCTCCCTGTCGCGTGTAGGTGCCCTGGCCCACAAAGTTAAAGTTGCGCTTGTTACGCTGCTTTGGCCCGACAACAGCAATATTCGGATCAAAGTACGGATTCTTGGTGGGATCGGCGAAATCAACCGGTGCATCCAGCAGCTTGATTTCCTTTCTGGCACCACCCAGGCGTTGGTTGGCCTGGAGGTAAGGCACGCAACGTGTCAGCAAACACCTCTCTTCAACGTTATGTAGGTCTACGCGCACTACATTCACCTACTTTGACCGTTGCAAAGTTGGCTTTGGGCATGTTTCCAATAAGCGGGTGCAGCTTTCCACCACTAGAGCTATCCATGCCACTCTCCGCGCCCGTCAACTGTGCAATCAACGGATGCGCCGGTGCAGCCAGGCCACTGCGTCCTGGAATTCGCGGTTCCGACTGCGCACCCATGCCTGCGCCAGCACCAAAAGGCCGTTGTGCCTAGGACAAAGGATTAGCCGGTGTGCCGTCTAGTGGCATGCATGTGAATATACTTGCCAAAGCGCCGTGCTTGGCGATTCCAGCTTGCACGCGCGCCCGTATCTCTGCAAGCTGGCGCGCGCTATCTGCCTTTGCTGCAACAACGCCAGCCATGGGCGTGGCCTGGCTCGAGGCGCTAGCATTCGCGCGATGCTGTTCCTGAATCTGCCTCAGCCGCTCCTCCACTTCGCGCTTCTTTTGCGCGAGAAAAGCGGCCACCTGTTGTAGAGAGCGGCACGCCATCAGCTCCGGCAAGTCTGCGTCGCCACGCACTGTCGCCCACCTCCTCTGGCGTGCGTTGGGGTGTAGACATGTTGGCACGTAATCGATGTGTAGAAGAGAGGCACGAAAAAAGGCACCACCAATAGCCAAACCCAAAACATTTAATGGTCTGTGGTAAGACTGAGCAGCGCATGCAAAGCTGATGTCCACGGTAGTTGCATGAACAAAATGCGCCTCAGTAGCGGCCATTGCCCCGTAAAAAAGGAGCAAGCTGGCTGCTGCGTATTTCTTTGCGTTCAAATATACGGGCAAGGCTAGCATTATTACCTTTGTACATACTGGTACTGATGTAGTGCCATTGATGTAGTGCCATTGATGTAGTGCCATATACCGTTGCGCTACCCACATACGATGAAAACTGACAGCACCACAGCGAGTACGCCTGTTGAATACCAACAGTATACTGCGTGGCTTGTGCTCAACTGCATAAACACGGTCAATAGGACTTGAGCTTGCTTTGGCACAAATCGCACCGTGTATTGAAAGCCGCATATGTCCAAACTCATGATTACAGCATGCGGCGTCATCTTAATGCTAAGCACAGCGGATACACCGGCGCCATGCCACGCGCCAGCTACCGTTACAAATAACGTAGACAAACCAGAACGGTACTCCAAACAAGCTGAACAGGATGCTTACAACAGAAGGCAGGAAATACGTGATGCCATACTCATCAACAACCTTGCCATCGGCTGGAGGGAGAAATGCAGTGACCAGGGTGATGAGAATGTAAGTGGTAAAGATGATGGGCACGATAATCCAGACCTTAAACGGACGCGCCTTGGCCGGCTCGGTGTAGCGTACAATAATGAGGCCAAGAACAGCCAGACCCATGTAAAGAAAGTAGGAAAAGCCGCTTACTTCGACGAGAAAGTCAAAGGCTCTGCCGGGAGGAGGGACCACCAGTGCAATCAGGGCGAGGATTCCGTTGGCTAGGATACAGCGGCGTGGTGTGTTGCTGCCGACGTGTACAATACTGAGAAAACGCCATCCTGGCAAGTAGTTTGAACGCGCAGCCTCGTGAAGAACACGACTGCAGACGAGGATGCTCGCTGAAGCAGCGCCAAAGGCAACGACTGCAAGCAGGATGGGAATCAACACTTGACCAGCGACAGCACCGAGAGTTGCAGCGCCAAACGTGCCGACAATCACCTCCTGTGCGGCAAAAGCCACGCTGGCCGGTAGCGTGACTGTGTATGCAGCGTTTAGCAACAGCATCAGTGCGGCACCAAGCGTAATGGAGGAGAGTATGGAGATGGGCAGCGTGCGTTCCGGTCGCTTCACTTCGCTGATGGCGTAGTTGAGATTACCCCAGCCGCAGAAAGCTAGTCCAACCCGTAGAGATGCCAGCGCATAGTCTAGCGCATTGGTGGACGTGCCTGCAAACGGCTCGTCCCAGTTGCCGGTGTCTGGTATGTCCAGCCCACCGGTCATGACGGCCAGCCCAAGACCGATAATAAGCAACTTGGCCATTATTTTGCCCAGCGTCAGTACATTGTGCACGCGGTTTGCCCAGCGCATGCTAAAGGTGTTGAGCGCGACGATGATCGCCAGGCCAGCAATACCTATGCCGCGTGCCATCCAGTCTTTGCGCACTCGTTCTGCTTCATCAATTACCGCATCTCCGGTCGCTGCGTATAGGATGTACTGGCCAAAGATGACCATCTGCGCAGCAAGATTTGCAGGAGTCATCACGCTACACGTGGCAGACATACCGTTAGTCTGTGCGCATGCGGTGTACACTGGCTACATAGGCCTGCTTACAGGATCATGATCCAGGAAAACGCATAGCCAAGTAGTTCACGTGGATACCGGTAGCAGTAGCTGAGATACACCTTTTCGCCGCCGCTTTGCGGTAGCATCAGGCCAAGCTCGACGTAACATAGGCCACCAAACATATGCATGATAGCACCAACCGCCCACATGATAAAGGACATGCCGACTGAGCCTGTTAGTTGCCATACCGATCCTGGAATCAGAAAGTTTTCGGCACTCATCAGACAGCTCATGAGGATGCCAATGCCAGATGTGATGCCGATGGTGGGCACCAACGTGGTAGTAGAGTCAAAGCCTTCCGCGATGGACACCTTGACGGACAAGTCTGTAGTGCTGGCATAGTGAGATGACGAAATGCTATTGCGAGCTGTTGTCGAGTGCGCCTCGCGCATCGGCGCGGTCGTGGTGTTCCTTAGACGCTCGCCCATGGCGCCAACGACTGTCGCTGCGCTGGCTTGGACAGCGCGTATCCAATAGATCCTGACGTAAGCTTGAGCACCGCAACTAAACGCGCCACGTAGCCTGTCTAGCAGAAGCTTGCCAAGACGCAGAACAAATACTCGCGCGGCCTTTGACTGCGCACCAGATGGCTGAGAACAGGCAGTGGAACTGTGCGAGT